CCTTGACTCCAGGCCATGCTGGGCCTTGACTCCAGTCCAAGCTGGGCTTCAGCTTGAGGGATTTGAGGCCGGGGGATCGCTCTGGAAGCATCTTGAGGCCAGAAGTCCACACTGAGGCCACGCCAGACTGCTGAGAGACTGCCACAGGCTGCCAAGAGACCTCCACGCCAGACCAAACGTCTACCATGCTGGGGCCGTGCTAAGGCAGAGAGTCCAGGCCGTCACCGAGAAGATGGAAGAGAGCGGTGGGAAAATACCCAGAAGAGAAAAAGAGAACTAAGAGGAAAAGGAAGGGACAGAGAGGGCAAGCTCCAGTAGTGGAAAATAATTGTATAGGTTTATGTGTGAGATGCACAAATATTTTACCATGCAATATACGTTTCACGACAGTCTTTTCAGAAAAGTTCACATTTTGAAAGGCAATACCATGACAATGATAAGTTGTCGCAAACTTGTGTCCACATGCCGAACCCTGCAGTGCCATGCTGTGTGGGTTTTGGTAATGCACACCTAGCTGGTAGAATTCACTGTGGAATGTAGCACCTTGGCTGTAGGTTACAGGTCACTTCAGACTACAGCTCTCTCAGGAATGGCCCTGGCTCAGGATAACCCGTCTTACTAACTCTACAGCCATTTCCAGTCATAAACCTGCAGTCTCTCTCCGTAAATGATCAATATTTTAAAGCAAAACTAGAGACAGATTCTGAAGGTTGATAATTGCAAACATTGTTCATATTAATATTTCATGTTGTGTTGGTGTTAGTGGGATGTCCAGAGAATTTATTTCTTTTTTTTCCCTGATCTTTTTCTTAAATCCCCTCTTGCTGTGGAGAGAATGGGTTTGCTGCCTTTTCTTCGGATGTTAAAGAGAAAAGTGCAATTGCCGTTTTCTTTTATCCCCAGGAGGTAGAGTTGGAACGTCTCGAGAGAGAGTTTGCCATTCAGTCGCAGATCACTGAGGCAGCACGGCGGCTTGCCACTGACCCAAATGTCAGCAAAAAGATGAAGAAGCAAAGAAAAATGTCCTACTTAAACGCACTTAAAAAACTGCAGGACATTGAGAATGCCATCAATGAATACAGGGTCAGGTCTGGAAAGAAACCCACACAAAGGGCATCTTTAATCATAGAAGGTGAGTGCTGATGTTGTTACTGGAAGATTTAACTTCTGCATTGTTTAATGTCTTCATGCTTAATTTCCTTCAATGCAGTCATTAATCAGAACGGGAGAACAGCTGCATTAAAACAGAGCATGAAGGAATTCATAAATAGAGGCATTGAGTCCAAAAGAGGGGAGGTTATGCTGAGCTTTCAAAGAGTTCTGGTTAGGCCCTAGTGAGAGCATTGATCCCAGTCCTCGTCACCACCCTGCAAGATAGATGTGATGTATGTCCAACTGCAACAAGACCTGGACTATATCCAGGCTTGGGATAACAAACAGCAAGTAACTTTCATGGCACACAAGTGCCAGGCAATGATCATCTCAAACAAAAGACAATTTAACCACCACCCCTTGACATTCAATAGTGTTACCATCACTGAATCCCCCACTATCAACATCCTGCTACTGACTAGAAACTGAACTGGGCTCGCCACATACACACAGTGGCTACAAGAGCAGATCAGAGGCTAGGAATACTGCAGCAATTAACTCACCTCCTCACTCTCCAAAGCCTGTCCCCCATCTACATGGCACAAGTCAGGAGTGTGATGGAATACTACCCTGGATGAGTACAGTCCTAACAACATTCAAGAAGCATGACCCCATCCAGGATAAAGCAGCACGCTCGATTGGCACCACATCCACAAACATCCACTCCCTCCACCGCCAACGCTCAGTAGCAGCAGTGTGTATTATCTACAAGATGCACTGCAGAAATTCACCAAAGATCCTCAGGCAGCACCTTCCAAACCCATGATCACTTCCATCTGGAAGGACAAGGGCAGCAGAGACTTGGAAATATATCACCGTTCCTTCACTGTCGCTGGGTCAAAATTCTGGAATTCCCTCCCTAAGGGCATTGTAGGTCAACCTGCAACATCGGGATTGCAACATGGTTTAAGAAGACAGCTCACCACCACTTCTCAAGGAGCAACTAGGGACAGGTAATAAATGCTGGCCTAGCCGGAGACACCCACATCCCGTGAATGAATTTAAAAAGAAGGATGACCTGTACTGTTTGGAGATATGGTAAGGTGTGTTAGAGTGAAGAGGGGAATCTGGTTCCTGTCTCTTGGCAGCGCACCCACACCCATCTGGCATTCCTCAGTGACAGGGATAAAACCATGATCAGAAAGACACAGGTTTGAAGTTCAGCCACGACAAGTACTGTTCAAGCACTCAGCTCCACCTTGGTTCATCCATCCTGTACATTGTGCTACAATATAAAACGTTTACTTTGTGCTTTCCCCATAGAAGCAAACATTGGTTCTGAAGACAGCTCGTTGTCAGATGCCCTGGTTCTCGAGGACGGTAAGTAATCCCTTCAGTCAGCATCTGATGTTGAGATGGTGGGGCGGGGGTGCGCAGTCTTGACAGGTCTTTTCACTATCTTATGAGAAATTATTTCACAGGGAATAGCTTATAGAAGCACCGTTTACTCCTCTTACCCTCGTTGTTCCAACATTGTGTGACATTCAAAGGCCCCAAAGCAAACTCCAGGGATGAAGAGGTTCTGTCTTTGTCAATATGTGACCTGTTACATTAAACATACCAGTGAATTTCGAAAGCCCAGAAGATTGATGCTGTGATTTACTGAGCAGTCGAGTAGACTCAAGATTTATGGCTTACTCTCTCACTCTGATCTTAGGTCTTGTGTTTTATCATGTTTTGCAGAAGACTGTCATGTTACGAGTGTTTCGTCCCCGGTGCAGTCACCACATAAAGGCCTCCCTCCACGTCCACCGTCACATCAGAGACCTCCTCCCCCCCAGTCTCTGGATGGATTGAGGCAGCTGCACTACCATCGCAGCGACTACGACAAATCGCCCATCAAACCAAAAATGTGGAAAGAGTCATCTTTAGACGAACCCTACGAGAAGGTGAAGAAGCGCGGATCTCACAGTCACTCCAGGTGAGTCGATGGTTTCAGGGAGGTACAGTTCACTGCGGTTGGTAATGGCAGTAAAACAAAATAGTGTCATTTGACATTATCGCATGGAATGCAGCTCCAACATGGATCTTAATCCAGCAAAACAACAATAGACTGGATTGACTCTACGGCTTCCGAGAGAAAGCCACCATCTGCTCTTGTGTAGGTGATACCAAGTTTTCGTCAAGTTTCATTGGCTACTTCAACAGGAAGGCTCTTATGGTGCAGTGGTAATGTCCCTACCTCTGAGCCAGGAGGCCTGGCTTCAAGTCCTGCCTGCTCCACAGGTTGTGTAATGCCATCTCTCAACAAATGGGTCAGAAAATACAGCAGACTTTTTATTAACTGGCATCTATAGGTCCAGGAGTATATTGATTGATCAAATATTCTGGTTCAGCAAGAGGTGAATGTGTAAACACACACTAAGTAATAGAAACATACTGCAGGGGGGTATACACATCACCGTTATACTTTATTTACAGCATAAATCACTTAAATAATAACGCAATTTTGCCTTAAATCAGACTTACCAGCAGACAGCCTTCTCACTCACACCACCGACTAACTATTTGGACATTGTGGATTATTTGAGGTGTTTAATTTTTGCCGGTTTACAGAGAGTGCTGTTTCATAAAGAGCCAATTAAAACAAAGTGCACCTTAAACTCTTCAGTATTGTGTGAGGAGGTCCAGCTGGTCTCCCACCCATAACATGGCACTAAATCCTAGTCGTTTTAATTTGTGGCTGATGTCATCACTTACAGTAACTTTGTACGTGAAGCACTGTTTTGCATTTTGATCTGAAATTGAAGTTTCCTTGCCCCCTCTGATAGGGTGAGGAATTATTAAACATTTGTATCTTGATTGTTGGAAAGGATGTTTTATGTTATTGGAATTGGGGAGGTTTAGGGTGTGTGACTGCATGGTACAGACATGTAAATAGGAACTAAATACCAATAAAATTGCAGCTAAAGGAAATCAGTGAAAGTACAGTCACGTCTGTCTGGGGAATAATGTGTGAACATTGGGAGTGAATACCCAGGTAGTTCCCAGTGCTGAGAGGGGTTCTGTTCCTTACAGTATTCCACGGGAAGATAATAGCAGAGATGCATTGACTTATCAGTGACGGACTATCAACGTGAAGCAGTGTCTCAGTCCTGGGAGCACAGTCTATTTTTCCAACCTGGGTTTTAGCAATGGTTCCATTTGGTACTCTATTTTCATCTATCATTTTGTTCCCTGTTGCTAAATATTATAAAATCTTCAAGTTACATATTTTAAAGTCAAACACCCTGATGTATGAATCCCTAGAAAAGAATGGGGCATGTTCTATTTTTCCAGCCATCGTTTATCCCTCAGCAGCCAACTTCATGATATAAAAAGAAAAGTAGTTTTGTTATTTCGTTGCAGCAGCTTTTGGGATCTTGCTGTGCAAAAACTGGCTGCTGAATTTCCTTACATCCCAACAGTGATTGTGGTTCAAAGGTGTTCAGCTGTGAAACAGATTGAAAGCTCTGAGGTCATGACAGGAGCTTTAAAAATGCAAGTTTGTTTTTGAAAGTGTTAAGTTTTTGGTTGGAGCTGACATTCCCATAGTTATAAATTTCCATCCGCTCCGCAAACTCCCTCCAGTCCACCAAAAAGGTCTGTAATTTGTCTTAATTCAGGATCCGTTTTGTTTCTTGGGTATCATACCTTCCAAGACCCACCAGGGTTACCGGTTGATGGGTCAGGCAATGGATATGAGGTCGAACTTGCAAACTTTAAAATTCACTAAAGCTACTATCCAGGCACCAACCGCAATTTCTGCATCAGAACCAGAGTTGCCAGCATTTGTAATTCAAAGAGAACGTTATTTTTTAATGCTGGGCAATGACCACGTCCAACTACAGAGGATCTAACGATAGCCCCTTGACATTCAAAGGTGTTGCCATCGATCAGTCACCCACCATCAACATCCAGGGTTTGTCATTGAGCAGAACAGGGTGTTGAAGGGCTACATTGACCCCAACTGGTTGAAAAACCTGCATTTTGGCCCTAGCATTGTCCAAATATTAAAATATTTGAATTGTATGTAAAATATTCTCCAGACCTCACCTCACACACTTCCCATGCCTCAAACAAGCTACTTAATGTTCTCTATCCATTCCCGTGACATCTCTTTCCCCCGAACCACCCTACACCCCTCTACCTATCCTATTTAGTCCCTTATACCACCTTTTGTCCCTCTATCCATCCCCTATTAGCCTCTACATATCCCTAATTGCCCCCTTATACCGCCATGCCAACTTAGTCCAAACTCATGCCAATCCATAATTCATCACTTTTCCCTTTACTACGATGCCTATTCACCGAGCAAATACTGATGCTCACGTGAAAAAAAAAACTTAAAGTTCTACACTGCATTCTACATCTGCACACCATTGAGAAAAGCAATCTTATTCATGAGAAAACACATTTTGGCAGCTGTTGACAGATTTGATGCTCTTGACACATTGTGACTGTTCTCAACACCCTTCACAGTTCCAAGGGGTTTTGGTACCTCGTAGGTACATTTTTCTTCACTGTTAACAATCACAAAAAATTACCTTACCCACACCCCAAACAATCTAAGGGTACCTGACCCGTTTTAAAGGGGTGCTTTACCCTGGCTGTCAAAACAGATCTGCAAACTGCAGCCTGTCCTCAGCAGTTTAATATACAGACTCCAGATTCCTCACTGCGCGGGATATCCAAATCTCACTTCAAAGGGGGCACCTGTGGTCAGTCTCCCTCCGGGAAACCCTGCCTGACTGGACTACCATCTCCGCAAAAATGGAGCATGTCAATTCCAGGGATTGGAATTGCAATTCCAGACCAAATCTGCCATATCGGAGGGTCTCTGTTATGGTAAGAATTTGGTCCTTATTATCACATGCAATAAAAGAACAAGCCTCCAGGCTTGTGCAAACAGCCATCCATCACTCAAGATAGTAAGGGACAGTAGATGTGGCACATCAGCATTAACCCCATGCCAAAAACAAATTCAGAAAAGATGAGAACAGCTCAGGAGCCACAGTGCTAGCAATAATGATAATACAAACTGCAGTGTGGAAATTCTACAACAAAAAGATGCGAAAGTGTAAACATTACAATTTATCAAATATCTAGGTCATTTGGTCAATCAAACAAAACTCTAGTAATTGAGCTGCTGGACAAAGCATCAGAGTGTGTCTATCTCACAGTTTGTATCAACATGGTTTATCCCATTGATGATTCTAGCCTCCATTTGCCAGGCATAACTCTGTGTTTGCGAGTTAAATCTGCAATATTGTGCTGAGTTACAACTTTTGCAGTGACGTTACATGTTTGTGTTACTCTTTAGTGGACACACGCGGTTTCCCAGTGTAGGGAGCTGTGCAGAGGCAGGAGCTGGTGGATCCCTGCAGAGCAGTCCTGTAAGAAGTGCTTCTCACTGGAACTCCTCCCAGTCCAGCATGCCATCCACACCAGATCTCCAGATACAAAGTCCCCCATATGTCCATTCCACACGGTGAGTGACCTGAGAAACTGCTGATGTTGGAGTTCCGAGGAAGGAAAATGCAGAGACTGTGATTCTGAAACCTAAGCAGGGAACGTTGGAAGTACACACAATATCCTTCAGATCTGAAAGAGAAGCTTAGATCATTCTTTGGAATTTTAACAGTAAACTGATGCCTGTTATTTAATTCTCCCCCTTTCTCTCACTGTGACCTCCCTGTATTTGGCTTCCTATCATATTCTAATGAAGGTCAATGTAAATTCGAGGAATAGAAACTTTTCGATTAAGCACTTTACAGCTTTCCAGAATCAATGGTGAGTTCAACTGTTTTACAAGACGAGATTTCTTTCTGTTTTTTCAGACAGCGTTGGCAATGTTTCTGCTTTACTCATTTCCAGTTCCTTGAGGCTCCCGTTCTCCATTTACCATCTCCTTACTGCCTTGCACCGTCAGCCCTTCATGACATTTAATCTCTCCAGCCACCTCTTTATCACTGACCTTCGTTTCTGTTCTCCCTCCTCTGCCACCCCTCCCTCTCTCTTCTCTCTCCTCCTGCTGCCTAAGTGATTAAATTATAACACAATGATTTTGACATCCAAGAAAAGGCAACAGAAACAGGGGACGCTTTTACTGGAAAAGAAGTTTGTTGAGGTCAAGATTCTTGTAGCCAGGAGTGGCTTGTGCTTTAATAATCACAAGGCATCTAACATTTAAGCTTAGAAGAGGAAGGCACAGCGAAGAGCTGCTTATGCAGAGACAGTGGTGTAATGGTAAAGTCACTAGATTAGTAACTAGGAACTTCAGGCTAATGTCTGGGGTTGTGGTTCAAATCCCCCAAGGAAGGTGGTTGGATACAAATTCAATAAAATATGAAATTAAAAGCTGCTGTGATGACAGCTGTTGTCCATTGTTTGTTTAAAACCATGTCTTTTAGGGAAGGAAATCTCCATCCATTCCTGGTCTGGCTGATATGTGACTCCAGACCCACAGCAATGTGGTTGACTTTATCAGTCCTCTGGACAATTAGGGGATGGGTAATAAATGCTGAGCCAGTCAGTAATGGCTACATCCCTTGGACAAATAATAAAAAGTTGCTGGTATTGCCCACAAGATTGTAGATCTGAGGTTGTTAGTAAGTACGGGGAGCTAGATAGTGTTTGACAGAATGTACAAAGTGTGTGAGTGCTCCGCAGTATGTTTTAGACTGTGGGACCTTGTAACCATGTCTTTAGCAACCTCCTCGGTTGTGTACATCCCTAAGGGGCTGACTCCAAAAGTAACAATCTGCTGTTGACTTTTCCAGGTTGGTAGATATCAGCCCGACTCGTCTGCACAGTTTAGCACAGCACTTTAGACACAGGAGCGCCAGTCTGGAATCCCAGGGCAAGCTGGTCGTGTCAGAGAACGAAACGGGGAGTCCGGATTTCTATACCCCAAGGACTCGTAGCAGTAATGGCTCTGACCCTTTAGACGACTGCTCTTCGTGCACCAGCCACTCCAGCTCGGAACACTACTACCCAGCTCACATGCATGCCAACTACTCCACTCTGGCTGAGGACTCGCCCTCCAAGGCCAGAGAACGGCAGAGACACCGATCTGCTGGGAATCTCGGTTCCTCCAATTCAGGGAGCATGCCCAACCTGGCTGCTAAGAACGGCAGTGGAAACAGCAGCGGGTTTTACCTGCACAGCCAGAGCCAGCCTTCCTCGCAGTATCGGATTAAAGAGTACCCCCTGTATATTGAGGGCAGTCCGACACCAGTGGTGGTGCGCAGTTTGGAAAACGACCAAGAAGGACACTACAGTGTGAAAGCACAATTTAAAACGTCAAACTCCTACACAGCGGGCGGGATCTATAAGGATTCTTGGCATGGCGATGATATTGATTCAGTAAAGCTGACGCCATCACGCTCACAAGTTGTTAGGACTCCATCGCTTGTTAAAGATAACCCTGAGAGAAGCACAAACAGAACTGCGTTGTCTGATGAACTACGCTCGTGGTATGAAAGGTCTTCAGCCACATTGAAGGAACACAACAGACTCTCTCATACAAGCTCTGACTCATCAGACAGGAGTTCGCCATATAGCACAAGCCAGAGCACCTTCATGGCCCATAGCAGGATAACCCGAATGCCTCAGCCGTCCAAAGCAACATCAGCTGTTTCAGGTAATGCATCCGTGATCCATCCATAGTTTAAACAGATGCACAGAATGTTATGGCACAGAAGAGGCCATTTGGCCCATCATTTCTGCAGTAGCTCTGCAGCGAGTGTTATGGCGTGGTGTCATTTTGCTGCCTTTGCCCCATACCCTTGTACATTGCTTTTATTCAGATAATCATCCAATGGCCTCTTCAATGCCCCAATTGATCCCACCTCCACTACATTTCCAGGAAGTTCATTCCATACCCAAACCACTCAGTGTGTGCAAACGTTTTTCACCCATCACACTTGCAACATTGGTTAAATGTGTACCCTTTCGTTCTCAATCCCTTTTATGAGTGAGAACAATTTCTCCCTACTACTTTATCTAGATTTCTCATGATTTTGAAAACCTCTATCAGATCTCCTTTTAGCCTTCTTCTCTCCAGGGAGAACCAGTCCCAATCTCTTCAACCTATCCTCATGATCTCATCTCTGGAACCAAGTTTGTAAATCTCTCCTTCACCCTTTCCATTGTATTTACAGCAAAGAAACAGGCCATTTGGTCCATCTGCTCCATGCTGGTGTTTCTCTTCCACAAGAGCTTCCCCTACTCCCTCGTCAAATCACCCTTTCACCATATCCTTCTGTTCGATTCTCCCTCCTATCTTGATTTAGCTGCCCCTTGAATACATCCATGCCATCAGTCTCAGTTACTCTGTGTGATAATAAGTTCCATATCAAGCCACTTCCATTTTTATCATTTGAACTACTACCTTCCAATGCTTCTGTGCACAAATGACAGAATATGGAAATGTGAAGACAGAGCATGAAATATTGGTATTCTGCAATTTATTCCTTTTTTTTAGCAGATGGGTTATATGTGTGAAATTTAGCTGGTAGATGTTGTCATATGAACACAGCCTGGAGGAGTGTTAGGTATGGTTCAGTTTGCATCACTCTGCTGTTTGCTTCGTAGTGTTCAAGTCTCAATCCAGGGCCGCTGAGGGAGTGCTGTACTGTTAGCAATTACATCTTCCTTTTGAGGCATCACACAGAGTTCCCGTACGTGCTCTGAGATAGCTAGAAACGCCACCACCTGCAGGCTCCCCTCCAAGCCACATTATTCTGACTTGGAAATATATCCTTCACTATTCCTTCAGTGTCAAAATCCTCAAACTCTCTCCCTAACTGCACTGCTGGTGATTCTACAGCGCATGGGCTGCAGCGGTTCAAGAAGGCAGCTCAGTACCACCTTCTCAAGGACAACTAGGGATTAGGGATAAATATTGGCCGAAAGCCTGTGATGCTCATATTCTGTGAAGAATAATTTTAAAAGATTGCAGGTACTGTTTCGAAGGTGAGTAGGGGAGTTCTCCCTGGTTCATGGAAAATATTTATCCTTCGATCAACATCATACAATACAGGTTAGCTGGTCTTTATCACATTGTTCACTATGAGAGCTGACTGCACCTCCTGTGGTAAAGTAGTAACTAAACTTAAAACGTCCTTCATCGGCTGTAAAGACTTTGGGACATTCACAGGTCATGAAAGACCCTCTGTGAATGTAAGTCTTTCTTTCTGTTCATAGTGTTAATATCCCAGCAGAATAATGACAAAAAAAAATTGGATACAAATGAGCAAAGAGTTAATATGAAACTAATGTAAAAATAAAGTCACCATAGTCCTACCAGAACCATGGGGCTGCTCTGTCATTAGAGAGAGACGACTGGTGATGGTTTAGCTTGAGGGTCAGTGTGCCTCAGGTAAGGGAGAGGGTGAGAATGAGAGTGTGATGGGAATTGAACCTACATTGTTGGCGTCACTCTGCATCGCAGACCAAATACTTTTTGTTGTAACTTCCAGTCTGTTGTGTCCAAAGTGAAGGAACACAACACACTCATACAAGCTCTGACTCATCAGACAGGAGTTCGCCATATAGCACAAGCCAGAGCACCTTCATGGCCCATAGCAGGATGACCCGAATGCCTCAGCCATCCAAAGCAACATCAGCTGTTTCAGGTAAAGCACCTGAAACCTTGCTGCAGTGTCCCTCGTGTGATCATTTTCTGGTGGTTTATCATGTATTAAAGGCACCAGTGGCCAGACAATCGTTACAAATGCAAGAAGCATAACCGAGCATTAACTGCAAGGTGCAGTGTGAGGGAGTGAAACGTAGAACCAGGAGGATTTGACGGTTCAGGAGAAGAAATCCCTCAGTCCTGCCTCATTCGGGTTAGCTGCTCTTTTTGAGATCACCCTGTACAGAGAGGGGAGTTTACCTTTTTATTGAGCAGTTAATTATGTTAATCAGCCAGGACGAAGCAGCCACTTGATTGATGCCACATCCACAAACATTCAGTCCTTCCACAATCGTCACTCAGTAACTGCAGTGTGTACTACCTACATGATGCACTGCAGAAATTCACCAAAGATTCTCAGACATCACCTTCCAAACCCACGACCACTTTCACCTCGAAGGACAAGGGCGGCAGGTACATGGGAACACCACCCCCTGCAAGTTCCCCTCCAAACCACTCACCATCCTGACTTGGAAATATATCAGCGTTCCTTCACTGTCACTGGGTCAAAATCCTGGAACTCCCACCCTAAGGGCATTGTAGGTCACATGGATTGCAACAGTTCAAGAAGGCAGCTCACCACCACTTTCTCAAGAGCAAATAGGGACGGGCAATAAATGCTGGCCCCAGCCAGAGACACCCATATTCCATGAATGAGTTAGAAAAAACTCACCTCTATGAGTTGATCAGTCAGTGTCACTAACCCTTGCTCTCCTAAAACCAGAAGTGGTCAGTTGGTGAAGAATTTTGAGGATCAGCATTTGGAATTTTAACACATCTTTCGGGGTTAAAATTGGCCCTCTTAATTAGCCTTGAAAGAAACACCGACTTCACCAGTAAACCAGGAATGGTGACCGTACACCACAACAAGTTCTATCTAAAAACCGCAAAAGAAAATGCATACCACCAGGAAAGCCACTAACATATTATGAGGAATTCAGTTCTTGGACTATCAGGAGTTCGAGCTGAATGACTCTAGATTCAGGGACCTAGCCACTTGTATAAGAAACCTGGCCACAATACAGCTCTGTTTATTCCTTCACCAAAACGGAACTGCTTTAATTGCAAGATAAAGGACCGAGAGTTGTTTTCAAGTACTTGAGATGCTGATATCACACAGGAACCTGAATTCTGGATTTAAATAAACAGGAAGCAGTTTGCTTCTATTATACTCCGCCCTGTAAATAAGAACCATCAGACAGCTAGATTGCTGTCTCTTTTGTCAAGCTTCATAAAATCCTGTAATACATTTCGATAAACTCCCAGTCCGATTGTTACATTGGAATTCTGTCTTCATCTTGATTTCCATATCCCATTTTTCAAATCCGCCCAGTTGCTGTATCTATCCTCTAGCCCAATGTCTGGAGCATTTCTTGCATCAAAAGCCTTTCCACAATGGTTAGGTTTGCCTAAAGCCACAATCTCACCACAGGGTTCCCTCTAATTTACTACCATCACTACCATCCTCAAGGGAACGTTACTCATGCATTAATTTTGTTATTTGGTGCAAGAGCAAAAGAAAATTTGCATTCTTCTAGTGCCTTTCACAACCTCGGGGCATCCCAAAGCTCTTGGACAAGTGCAGTCATTGTTGTAATGCAGAGAAAACAAAACCAATTTGCACACAGCAAGCTCCCATAGTCAGTAGCATGATAATGACCAGATCAGCGTTTTTTATTCGTTCACAGGATATGGGGGTCATTGACCAGCCCAGCATTTATTGCCCATCCCTAGTTGCCCCTTGAGAACGTGGTGGTGAGCTGCCTCGTTGAACTGGAGAGACAATTCCAGCATTTTGACCCGGTGACAATGAAGGAACGACAATATATTCCCAAGTCATGATGGTGAGTGGTTTGGAGGGGAACTTGCAAGGGGTGCTGTTCCCATGTATCTGCTTCCCTTGTCCTTCTAGATGGAAGTGGTCGTGGGTTTGGAAGGTGCAGTTAAGGAGCCTTGGTGAGTTACTGCAATGCATCTCGTAGATAGTACACACTGCTGCCTCTGTGTAAAATGTGGGATATTGCTCAAAATGTTACAGAACTGTACAGAAAGTAAGCATAGCATTGTCAAGAAGTGAACACTGCAGACAAGACTGAGGGATGTCAATGATTTGGAAACAGTTCAGAGAATTACCAGACTATAACCTGAAATGAGCAGATGGCCTTATGAGGAAAGTCGAGACAGGCTGGGCCTGCATCCACTGGACTGTAGAAGAGTCCAAGGGGATATAAGATCCTGAGGGGATTTGACCGGGTGGATGTTGAAAGGATGTTTCCTCTTGTGGGAGAAGCTAGCACTAGAGATCATGGTTTAAAAACAAGGGAATGTCCATTTAAAACAGAGATGAGGAAACGTTTTCTCTCTCACAGGGAATTCCATTCCTCAAAAGGCAGTGGATGCAGAATCTTTAAATATTTTGAAGGCAGAAGTAGAGAGATTCTTGATGACCAAGGGGGTGGAAGATTATCAGGGATGTGCAGGAATGTAAAGTTAAGGTTATAAATTGGATTGCACGTGATCTTATTGAATGGGGGAGCAGGATTGAAGGACCGAATGGCCTACTCCAGTTCATTGTTTGTCTGTTAACTCATAGTATGGCTGAAAGGCAATGCTTTCACCACACTGAGTGGCATCTTGCAGCAGGGACAATGGGAACTAGCATGAACTTTTGAAGTGAAAACAGGTCATTGCAGTCCCTCTACCAACATACCTTATACTGCACCTTCCAAACGCACCACACAACCATCTAGAGGATAACGGCAGCAGATGCAAGGAAGGATTGTCATCTACGTGTTCCCCACCAAGCTACTCGTCACCCTAACATGGAAATATATCACCATTCCTTCAGCATCACTGGGTCAGAATCCTGGAACTCCCTCCCTAATGGCATTGTGGGTCAACCTACAGCAAGGATCTGAGCGGTTCAAGGCAGCTCATGCCCATTT